AATAATTATAATAATAATAATAATAATAATAATATTTTATTTCAATCACATCCATTGTGATAATTTCTATATAATTAACCATTTTAATATTTAATTTGTTTACATAAACATTTTTAAATACTTTTTCTGTCTACAGATGGCGATAGCGTGCAATATTGAACGAAGATTTTATCTCGAAATGTTATATTATTTAAAAATTATTTTTATATTTTATAATATTTTATTCTATTATTAATTTAATAAAACTTTTAATAAACGATATATTATAATTTATTACACTCTTAAACAGTGTTTAACAATAAAATTTCAATATGTGCGGTAACAGGTATAGGCCTTCGACGTGTCATAATTATACATACAAAAATCGGAAAAAAAAAATTAACGACCCTCACGATTTAACAGTCGAAAAGAATTTATATATTATTATATAAAACTCGGGAATCTTACCTATTATCAATTTCTTCGTATTGAGAATCTCTATCGTTTCGATTATCCAATTTTCGAGATCGAAAAACTTTACTTCGACCGTCCATTTTTCAAATTTATTAAACGACTAATGATCGTCGGGATGACGGAATCATTTATCACACAAAGGCCTCACACTATCTCCTAACTCCAATATGATTAGTTAATGACTAGAGATATTTTTATCTTGGAGTAGAGATTATTTGGATGCTCTAACTCGATATTTATATTATGATACAGATAAATTATGCGGATATAAAATCGTCTACTTTTAAATATATTTCATGTAATAAAAAGTAATTACTGTATCATTTGTTTTAATCGCGATTCATATTATATTATTATTGTTTTGAGAGGATACCTGCTATAATTTGAGACATAAATGTTTTTGGAATAAAAACAAATGTAAAGAAACTTTGAATGATCTTTAATGCCATGTGTCACAATGAAAACATTATTTTTGATCTTCATTCTACGTCAATTACTTTCAACCAATGACAGACGGCCAATTCTCAGCTTAACTCCTCCCAATAAGTGGGAGGTAACTTTTATGCTCGATCGTATTTTAGTGTTAAACGTATATTTTGAAATTTAAAGGATCAAAACCTTTATATTTTTTTTAATTAATTAAACTAAATGTAATTTTATTTAATTACTGTTTATAAGAAAACATTATTTTGATGTCATATATTTTTAATTATTATTTAATTCCGCCATCTATTGTTGACTTAAGAAATTGTGTGTGTTTTCATGATGATAATGTATTATAAATATAGGCCTATTATCGAAATATACAAGATTTATACGACACGTATTTTTTATACATACAGTATTTAAATAAATCTACAAAGAATCGTTACGCTGTTATATATATATATATCGGCTTTGTTTGCTAATTTTTATGAAGGTTCTCCACTCTGTTCTTAATAAACAGAGCAGCTAATTGTTGTGGTCTGGATTGCCATTCTTGCAGTTCTTCTTTCGATGCAATAATTTGATCACCTTTTAGTCTGTCCAATAGAGCCACACATATGACGGCAGCTGTTGTATACATTTATCATTATCATCACACATTTATTATGTGGAATTAACAAATTTTAAACTAAAAACTTTACCTGAAATTCCAGCATTTGTACACATAGCCGCGAACACTAGCGATTCCATTTCCATGTTAACTACTCCCATTCTATTTATATTTTGTAAGTATTCCAATTTCTCTTTTTCGGTGTAATTGCAGAAAGCTCCATCTAATCTTGCTTGGCCTAATTAATAGAAATTTTAGTATATTTCAAATATAATATTTCTTCTTAAATTCAAAATTTTCTCTTACCTTCATAAAAATCATCTGTACACATGGTTGTACCTAAACAACTCGGGTATTCACATAGATGACTTTTAGCTATTTTTAATAATTCTCTGGCAAGATTTACATCTAAAATAGCTTCACGCTTGACTTTCCTTCCTAGTACTATCTATTAAACTCAAATTAATAGTAAAAATTATAAATATGATCAATGTAAAAGACAAACAAACAACTTACTGCCTCTTGATAAGGCCGCATCAATCCATCTACAACAGAGCTTGTGATTATTAAACTTCCTTCTTTCACACCTATATTAAATTTTGAACATTTTAAAGAGAAATAATAATAATAATTTCAATGTTATAATTATTTAAAACACTAACCAATACCGCCGCAAGTTCCTAATCGCAAAATTGTAACATCTCGACAAGCCGAATAGTGTAAAAGTTTTATAAGTTCGTGGAGCATGATGGAGATGGATGGAGTTCCCATTCCGTGCTAAAAAAAAACATGAAATATATATAACACAGAGCCTATGTAATTTCGTATATAACTCTTCGTAACATTTATGTATTACAAGTACTCACACTAACGCACAGAACGGGGCCTACTTTGTACATAGAAAATCTGTACGAGCTCCCACTAATATCGTAAAGAGCTGTTCCTGGAGGTAATTTGTAATTTAGTTCGCATGTCATATATTGGGCGAAATCCGCCATTCGTTTTGTAGTTCCTCCAACACATACAAACTAAATAATAATTAATCACAAAAAACAATTTGCATGCAGTGTACAATCTACTAAACAAAATTGTAAATCAATTCAACATTTTAAACATTAATCAAAAGTATAACTATTTACTCGAGTCATCTAATAGCAGTAATTAAATACCTTTACGTCTCCAAACATTTCTTGCAAGTTGTGTGTAGTTGTACTTAAAGAAAGATGATACAAAACATCTTCTGATAATTCAGCTATGTGAGGATTTTTAATAATATTTCCATTCCTTCAATATAAACCAATAATAATAATAATAATAATAATATTTTATTTCAATCACATCCATTGTGATACTTTCTATATAATTAACCATTTTAATATTTAATTTGTTTACATAAACATTTTTAAATACTTTTTCTGNACAAGTTGATTAATATTAAAATTTTTCATTTTGTTATAACAACAATTCTGTTTACATACAAAATTAATCTGTCAATTAATTATAAAATTCTCTTTTTTAACACAGAAAAAAAAAACAATGTAATCATCTAGATTTAATTATCATCTAATATTATTATAAAATATTTGGCAAGTTTCTGTTCCTAGTTTGATTTTAAGCTTTTGACGAACTGTTGATGGATTGCGAATTGCTATTTTTAATTCTGTACGGTAAGTGCACGAGTATATGTTATTCTGATAAAGCGTGTTTGTTTACTTAAAGAAGTCCCAGATGTTTTTTGATGAAGACGGCCACCAGTTCTTGCGGGCGATGCTGCCATTCTTCTAGAGTGGCTTTGGGAGTGCTGACTTGGTCGCCCTTCAGTCTGTCTAGAAGGGTAACGCAGACCACGGCACCTGAAAGGAAACTTATATTTATAAAGACTTTAATTTATTCTTGGCTTGCAAATATTCAAATATTTTGCCATTCACACAATTAATCTTGCTGACTAATATAAACATCTGATAGCTGAATAATCCTTGACCTAGTAGCAGGTGAAGCAAAAAGGTCAGGGATTTGATTATGGAGATTAAAACAGGAAATGTGATCAGGATTGTAATAAAACATGTTATTCCTGAAGTAATTATTAGTAAATATTATTATTATATACACTAATAAGTGGGGATATTAATGTAAAATACCATTAATAACAATTATTAAGTTGAATTAATGTTAGACTTTAAAGTAGAGATTTCAACATGAATTGACAAAGTTGAATCTTTCACATATATAGAATTACAACATTAACCTACTTTAGATACAAATTCTACTACTATCACAAAAATCTCATAAATAAACCATGAGATATCAATTTATTCACTCTTTAATCATTTTGGTTGCAAATGAAAAATGTAAAAAAACAACAACAAAGATCTAATGTAATTCAAATTTAATCATACCTCTAATTCCAGCATGGTTGCACATAGCTGCAAATGCTAATGATTCCATTTCTATGTTGCAAATTCCTTTTTCATAAATATTCTTCAAATATGAAAGCTTGTCATTTTCTGTATAATCACAAAAAGCGCCATCCAGACGACCTTGACCTAGAGGTAATAAGGGGGAAAACAACAAAATCTAAGTATTCATTGGATTAGATAACAAAAGTAAACTCGAGTGTTACGAATAAATAGATAAATATTGAACAAACGTTGAAAATATCAAGTTTCATTTTATATTTATGGCTGGTAATTAAGTAATATGATATTTACCCTCGTAGAAATCATACGTGCACATAGTTTTTCCAATAACTGATTTATAATGAGGCAAATGTTCTTCACTTAAACTCTTCAGTTCTTTAGCAAGCTCTTTATCTAAAACTGCTGGTCTCTGTACTGGTTTTCCCAATATATGCTAGGAAATAATAATTTATACATTTTTTGAATTCAATATAATTTATTAAAATGTAAGTAATTGACATTTCTAAACTATCAGCATGATAACAAATTTGCTATATAATTAAGCATGATATATTAATATTCTATATATATATATACATTAGTTTTGGAAAAAAGCCCATACTTATTTAATAAAATAAAAAATATTTATAAATAAATTGGATAGTTCACTTTAAATTGATATAAAAATTGAATACAGTTGTACTGTATGGTACAATATATAATCAATTGTGCATTATATCAGCATTTCCTAAAGTAAAGCCTGCAGACTGATTCCTAAGAATCCAGTCTTTTCCTAAAAATCTGAGAGAAGATTGGATTCAAACCATCCGATCCCTCACAACAGAAGGAAAATGAATTATAGTACTATTATTCAGTGAACAAATGTTGAATATACAACTACATTATTTATTTTCATTGCAATTAGTCACTTCCTTTACAGTTCACATTCAATCCTCACTAATAATTGAGGAACTTAGTAAAAAATTTATGAAGTTTTCAAGAAAAAAGAAGATTTGTGTTTCTATTCACAAGCACTTTAATATGTACAGTACAATCTATGAGGCATGCAACCAAATAGTTTGTCTTCTAAGAAACTCACAATCATCAGCTTGTCTTCTAAATCAAAATTTGTTAACTCATTTCTTATAGTTTTGCAAGACATGCAATTTTTCTACTAATGAGTAAGCTCCTCTGTTCATGATTGTACCTTTGTGTATATAAATCATTATTATAATATATTCATTTTTATTCCATCTTTATTTATTGTATTATTTGTTTTATTCAGACTAATTTATATTCAAAATCCATTGTTTTCTAATTGTTGTATACAGTATTTAACTTTATATTAGATGAAGAAGCATAAAAATTCTGTTAATTAAATTAGTAAATACAAAGTTGTTATTATATCAAATGTAATTATTTATGTTTATAATGATTTTTAATCCCTAAATAGAAAAATTATGATTATAAGTAATTATAAAAATAGTATGTCATTATTTTAAATTATAAAAACAAAATGCCTAAAAGTTAAAATAAAAAAAAATCTTGTTTAGGCCAAAAAATCTACAAATCCAATAACACATTTATAGATTTATTGGCGCACAGAATTAATCTTACCAATTCTAAATAAGGTCTAAGCATTCCGTCAACGGCAGATTCGGATATCACCAAACTTCCACCCGGAATGCCTGCAAAAAGTAATAAAAAATTCCAACGAGTAATTAAATTATCTAATGAATATTCCCCCCGCTTAATAGAGTCTTACCGATTCCTCCACAAGTGCCAATTCGAATAAAGATTACATCTTTGCACTTGGCGTGATATAATAATTTGATAACTTCATGCAACAGAATGGACAGCGAAGGTATCCCCATTCCGTGCTGAGGAAAGAATATCAATTGAAATCACTTTATTAATTTGTCTAAATTAACAAATTACATGGTAACGGTTCTAAGCCGATAAGTCGTAATAAGCAAAGTGCACGCGGCAATATTAACTTACGCTTATGGTGAGAACCGGTCCAATTTTAAACATGGAATATCTGTACGAGTATCTGCTAATATCGTATAAATCGGCTCCCGTCGGTAATTTAATATTCAGCTCGTTTCTGATGTAATGAGCGAAACTCTCCATTCTCCTAGGTGTTCCACCCATGCAGACAAACTATAAAATATATGTTTTTACTTTTTTAATTGCATATATATTTCATATTCAAAATAAAAAATTACAGTTAAAACTAAAAAAAAATCTTGCATATAAAACAAACCCAAATTAATCTTAAAAATTGAATTTTGCTATTTTATATTGATACATTTATGATTAACTATAAACAGGGCTGTAGAGAGCCTGTTTATATAAGTTGTATGGGGGCTGGAATAGAGGGACCCTCTTTTTTGAACAAATGGAATGTTTCTTTATTGATGAATGTTATTTTTTCAAGATTTTATTTTCCGTTTGTAAAAATAATGCTAATTTATAGTGGTAGGGAACAGTAGTGAATTCAGAAATCTTTATAAGGAGTACAGAAGGGTAAGAATATGCCTTAGAAAATTTTTTTTCTACCTGATGTACCAGGTTTTTCCAAGTAAAGTCAGGTACTGTACATCAACCCTTCTGAGGTGCAGGGTGCAGAATTTAGGGGGTGTTCAAAGAAGGATTTAGGGGGTGTGCATAGGAGGAGGATTTAGGAGGTGTGCATAAGAGGTTTAGGAGGTGTGCAAAGAGGGATTTAGGAA